AGCTGATGAAGGACAGTAGGACGCTTCTGCTGAGCTGACGACGATTATCTGGTTCGGGCGTTTTGGGTTTAAGCGTCAGAGAAGTTGTTAATCGTAAAATATCAGCAGGCAGAACTTCCTGATAGTGGTAGGGTTGGCGCTTAGTTGCATTAAATAAGGGTTCAGTTAGCTACTTTTAAGGTTTATTTAATTCAAATTTAATTGTTTTACGTTAAATTTAACCTAAGCTTTCGAGCAACGTTAAATTATTTGATAATAATTGATAAATTTTTATTATAAAACTGAATAACTCAAGCAAATTATCTAGAAATTTGACTTTGTACGCTCATAAGTCATAATACTCGGAATTGATCAAATATTCATTTTTTTTCTGGTAGTGAAATATGTCCTAAAAATTCATTTCAGACCAAAAAACTATGACTTTATGCATATTCTTGTTAAGGCATATTCTAAGGTTGCGAGTTCTTGTTAAGGCATATTCTTGTTAAGGGTGTAAATGAGTCGAGTCGAGCTCAAATTAGAGAGCGTTTGAGTCGAGCTCAATTGTCAAATACCGAGCTCAACTCGTTCCACCGTAAATGAGTTCAAGCCGCTCGTCGAGGCTTTGGCGTGGTCTGGTTCGCCTTCAAAACTCGCAACCTTCCAAGTTCTAACACATGGTCCTCGAAAAAAAATTTCTCAATTTTTACAATTACAGTGAGAGGAAGTGTGAGAGAGAGAGAGATTTGAGAAACACGCCAAATTTTTTTAAAATACGTGTGACCCTAGAAGTCAAATACACAAGCTTAATATTAATTTTTTGCAAGATTAATATTAATTTTTTAAAATATTTAAATTTAATAATTTTGAGCCGGCTCACAAGCTCGCAAACAAAACCTCGTCAACCTCAAGCTCGTGGCTCGATAAGCTTGGTTCACGAGCTCATAAATGAATCGAGTTCTAGCAGACTCGTGAGTCAGCTCGGCTCACTTACACCCCTATTCCTTGTTGCATTGGAAGAGTCTGACATTTCACACTTATGCTCTCTCCATAACAATCATCCGACTTTTATTTGAAATTTTTACACGCAACAAAATAAGGCAATCATGCCAATAAAATTAATCGAAAAATCATATCCATCAGCATTAACATGTATGAGTAAGAATTTTTTTTTACTTACAACGTGTATCATAAATTAAACCATTTTGGTGGGGTTATATCCCAAACAAGTAAGAATATTTAAAATGGTGAATGTTTGTTTAAACTACATTTGAATATTATTCAAATAATGGTTCGAACATGTTTAAACGCATGCTCGGACATTATTCAAAACATATTTAATCAATATTCAAATTTTTTCTTCAGTCATATTTGAAAATATATTCTAACAATGATAAAGAATATAGTGACCAATTATTTTATGGACCTAGGATAATGAAAAAAAAGACAAATAAGTCGGTTGGATATTGATATGGAGTTATAGCTAGAGATTGATGGCAACAATAATTATTTCACTTTAAAATCTCATAGTGTAATAACTTGTATTTATTAGTATTTCTAAATCGAAATAGTAGAATCCAACTATATTTCTCCTCACTATTCTCTCATACCTTTTAATTTGGAAACAATATTCTTAGAGTGTCAGAGAGATGAGTGAGGGGGCAAGCATGATCGTGAGGTTCGGTATTCAGTGACATTGACAGAAGATATGTCACACGAGAGAGGCAAGCAACCAAGGTGGGAGAGAGGTTGGACGGGAACAAGTAGGGAGACAACAAGCATAACTAGGAGGAGGAAACATTAAGTGGCATATTGTTTGCAACTTTTTTTGGTAGTATGCAATAATTATAATAGTATTTTTTTGGAAAAAATTTAGATGCAAACTTTAGGACATTTAATTTTAAAATTGAATATGTCATTATGAATGATATATCATCTTGAGAGATGAGAAGATCATTCTCTAATGGGTTCATATTGCAAAATTATAAATTTCATCCCGATTATCATGCAAAAAAATTACATATGATCCTGAAGGGTCAAAATGATGTTTAATCACATATTTAACTACGATAATTTAGATGTATTATCATTAATATCATAATTAAAGTTGTAACGGTAAATGATATATCTTTCCAAGGAAATAAAATATCATTTATTATTAACTAGTTGAAAGCCTTCCTCCAACCACCGTTGCCCGCCGACTACAATCCCTTCTATCAATGTCGTCCATCGACTACGGCCCACACCGATCAATGTCGCCTGCCAACTGCAGTTCTTCTGACCATCGTAGTCCGACTACAATCCTTCCGACCGCCATCGTCTGACTATGGTCCTTTCGACCACCGTCGCACAACTACAGTCCTTTCGACTGCCTTTGCCCGAATGTAATCCATCAGACCACCATCGCTTGACTACGGACCTTTTGACCACCGTCGCCTGACTACGGTACTTCCGACTTCCATCACCCACCGACAACAACCCTACCAATCGAATGAACAAGACAAGACCCCAATTTGAGAATAACTAGCATGCCATGTGATATATATGATGTATGTTTATTATATTGAGCCAACGCCCTGCTCCGAAGAGGAGTATTATTTGTAATCAATCACCAATATTAGTTTATTCATTCAAACTAGGACAAGCCCCATGATGTTTTCCCTTTTACGGATTTTCCACAAAAATCTAAGTGTCTCTTATGAATGTTGCACCATACTTTTTATCAATCTATGCGCTGGATCTTTGTACAATACTAGACACTAAGCATTATATCTCTCGACACCACACGAATATTCCAAGGCGGAATAATAACTAAAGGGAATTTTATATGTACATATCTCAATCACTTGTTTAAATACTTCTATAGATTAATAAGAAGCCTTAAATCTTCTCAATTACAAACAAAAGGCATAAACATGATATCCAAGCCTTAGTTTGACCAAATAATCAACTCTTAATATATTGAAATTAATATGAATGATTATTGAAACCATGGAGCTAACATTAAATTATAATAAATGATATCATCATAAGTATTAATAGATTATTTACTTTAATTATATGTAATTAACAATTGGGAGCATGATTAATCAAGCAGCTTCATAACTTATAGTGGGTATGCATGCATAATTTTGTAGTCAAGCATATTTCATTTTAATTTCAATTTAAAGCATGCAAACAAATATTTTTAATTCAAATATTACAAAAATATCAATGTTTAGAAGTATTTTTTCTTACAAGTTTGATACTTTCTTAATGTCTTTGTGTTATTTAGGCTTTGTTTGGGGAGTCTTTCTTAGTGGTTTCTAAAGTAGGCTCTTAGTTTAAAAAAAAAAAATTGAACTATAATTTTTTTTGTACTAAAAAGCTGCTTTAAAAAGCAGTAAGAAAGCTGTCTAAAACGTCTTAATTTGTTGAAAAAGAAAGCAAAATAAAATGAAATACATTGTAAAATAAATGAATTAAAATGAATGCATTGCAAAGCCTAAAATGATGATTCACGGTGTTCAACAGTGGTGGTGAAAAGCGGGTTATAAGAAGTGGGTTGTGGTGATTATGAAATCAACTTACAGTGCTTTTGGATCCTGTTTTGTTCAATGGATGATGTTGGGCCATATTTGTTATTACGTGAGTGCTAAGAGTAGTTAGAGAGAATGTAATGAAGTTTGAGTAGAGGAGGCAGATAAAGAAGATAGGTTCTAAAGATGCATGAACTTCAAACAAAATTTTTATTATCTAAACCAAATATACAATAATGGAGAAAGTATGGGCTCTAAGCTATGGAGCTCGAGTTATACAAAAGGAACAACACAATGCTTAAGAGATATTCTACAGAGATTACAATTATTTGTCTTTCTTTTCCCTCTTTCTTTCTATATTCTGTTGCATAATCTTCTATCAAGGAAAGAAGATGAAGCTTCATTGAACTTGTCCCAACTATTGAGAGTCCAACCAACCCTTTTTTCCTTTTCTCCTCCCCCTTTTATAGGATTTAAAAAGAAGCATGAGTTAAGTCTTGGCATGTAGTTGTCCTATTATTTTGTTATAGTAGGGTACAGATGCCAAGCTAGTTAGCGAATGAAGAAGATTAGTTGAGTGAAGTCGAACGAAGATTAGTAGTCCCCTCGTTGAAATGGAAGGGGGAAAAGTGTCGTCAAACTACTGCGGATGAGAGATGATGGAGTGATCTGGATCGCCCTGGTGAGGTGGAAGGGTGAGTAGAGTTTGAGCACGGTCTTCCAGCATATATGTGAGAGGGAAGTTTTTGAGAGGGACAACATGTGTCAGTAGCTCTTGGATGTGTCGAGCATGAGAGTTTGATTCTTGCTTAAACAAATAAAGAAATACCTAGCTAAGAGAGAAATTGATGAGTACGCCCTTCCCGGGGGGGGGGCGGGCCAGCTGCCTGGAGGTTGTGATCGGTCTTGATCCATTAAGTTCCAGCATGAAGCTTCTTCCAGCTCCTGAGCGAGTCTCTCGAACAAACAGTTCCAAAAAAGTGTGTCCTCCCTTCACTCGAGCCGAATGTAACCTATAAGATACCTATAAATGAGTACATGTACATATATATTCACCAGTGTACATATGCATTTTAAAATTCAATAAGATTTGACAAATTTATAATATATCGAAAATAAATTATGAAATAAAGAATTCATCAAAAGTTTTAGTTTATTTTTAATCAATATAATACTATTAAATTATTTTACATTTTTGAGCAAATAAAACAACACCGTACCAAAATGAAGATCTATATCCATAAATAACAATTATCCGCCTCAAGTCCGCTCTATCCGCCGCCTCCGTCCGTCCGCCGCGGCGGCTGCCATGGATAGCGACAGCCCCACTGAGCACTTACCATCAACACAGCTATCATATATATGTATATAATTATATATACATAAAAATTTATCTAAAAATAAATTTATATATAATATACAGAAAAACATATAAAGAAAAAGACAACCAATCGTCAGCGCACCTCACACGTGCCACACGCGCGACACCCCACTTTCAACCCTCGCACCTTACAGTTCTTCAGTCTTTCGTAGCTTCTCCCACCTTCTCCGTAATGGAGCCAAAGCAAGCGACAGAGTGATCGAGAAAAAGAATGCAAAGGCAAGAGAGATTACAGATGAGATAATCGGCTTTAACCGTATTCAATGTAATTCTCCTCCTCCTCCATCAACGCCCCGGCATAACCTTCCTCGCATTTAATTTGAATCAAAATTTGTGAGCACAGTTGAATTTCTCGGCCGTTTCTCTTTCTCCTCCTCGTCATCTGTTGTTTGATTCTCGTTGATCTATGGAAGACGAGGCGCTGGCAGTCTAGCAGTGGTTTCCTGCTCACTGTCATCTAGTGAAGGCGGTAAGCGTAAGAGAAGCACCGATCGGTTCCGATCATGGCCGTCGTGGAGAACGCTGACGGTTCTGATATAGGGATGAGACTAGAGTCCTCTTTGACTCGCGACATCGATGGCGGCGGTGCAAAGGAGCACGAAAGCCGCCTTGTGACGTCGGCGGCTTCGCTGCAGAAGGGTCATTTGGGAGCAGCGAGGTTAGCTGGCTCATTTCTGCGTCCTTACCAGGACTCCTCTTTCTCGGGCTTCGAGATTAAGGCTTTTCAACCCCGGCAACAGTGGGTTGGGCATGCAGCGGCCGTCCAGTTGCGTAACGGTGGACGAAGGGGTAATGAGGAAGGATTTAAGAGGGACATGAGAGATCTGGAGGAGTTGCTGTCAAAGCTTAACCCGATGGCTGAGGAGTTTGTGCCGCAGTCGCATGTGAACCATGGAGCTGGGGTTTTATGGAGCGGCGGGGGCGGCATCGACGCAGGCTTTTATTCTAGCAGCTTCGGGCTACCTGTTGTTTATCCAAAGGCGGCTCATGCTAATGACGGTTATCCTAATGGTAGCAGTGCCAATGGTGATAGGCGGGTGAGAGTCATAGAAATGTTCAGTGGATGTTATGCATTTTGCCTGTTATTATTTAATTTTTCTCCCTTTTGACTTGTCAGTTTGTTTGAACAGAGGAAGACTGGTCACAGCCAAGGAAGGAGGCGAATGAACAGCCGAACAAGTATGGCTCAACAAGAAGAGATAATTAGAAGAACAGTCTACGTGTCTGACATTGATCAGCAGGTTCATTTTGTTCTGTTTTGTGCACTTATTTAATTTGAGTGAGATTCTTTTGATTGTTTTTATAGATTACCGTATGTTTTAATATAGGCTTTTCCTTTTGGAGGTTTGATTTTTGATAAACTTATGAAACCTCTTTTATTTCGTTTTGTTTTGCTTACCCCACCTGATTTTATGTTGAATATCTGCAGCTTTGTTTGGGGTCTTGAGAAGATGAGTTTAACATCAAGTAAGTTGTTAAGTGAAGGATAATATGGTTAATTAGGTAACGCAGATTTCACGTTCCTCTTGGGACTTCTTGGCGCATACTATATTATGAAGTATTTGTAATATGCAGGTAGCGTGTGCTATGTGAAAAATGCTGATGTACATAACATATTTTACCCAAATTTTTATGTATGAATTTCCCCATCTTGCAAAGTGAAATGGGGATGAAGCATAAATATTTAACAATAACTACTTAAGCGGCAAGTGTTCAACCAGCAAGCTAATCCCCACCATCCATTCTCATTTGCATCCAAAGAACTATGTACATATCTTGAACTATCTATACTGCTACCTCCTAATGTATTTTTTCCTTTTCTTTAATTCTTTCTACCTAGTGCCTATACGAGACAAAATAATATACTGCAATAGATGAGAGAGTAAGAAATAGATAATATTTTTACTATTTTATATTTACCTTTTTCCTCCTATCCATAAGACGGGTATCAAAGAATTTCACTTCTTCCACTTCAAACATGAATCCACCTTCACTCCTATGGGAACTTCAAATCCTGACATCGACGACCTTTAAGCCCCTTCTACCTTTATTAGTTAAATTGTCTCGGGATCTTGTTGGTCACTTAAGTTATAGCCGATGACAACAAGAACACATGTAGTTGGGTTATGCGGAACACACTATTCATAAAAAAATAAACCAAGGTCTATATGGATCAATATCCAGATTTCAAGGTACCAATCCCAACATTCTCAGTTTTTGGAATAAGAACAATGATGTTGTTATCTCCTAGATCTTGAATTCCATCTCCAAAGATATCTATGCAAGCATGTTGTACCTTGAAACATCTCAAGATTTTTGGGCGGACCTTCAAACTTGGAGAATAATGGTAAAAAAATCTTTCAACTAAAGTATGAATTTATCAATCATGGACAAGAACAAACCTTTGTAAGTGAATAGTTCTCATTGTTGAAAATCCTATGAGAGGAATTAAGCAGTTTTCATCCAGCTTGTAGCTACAAAAACTCTTATAGCAGTAGAAAACTGTTCAACTTGCATCATCAGATAGAATACACCATTATGTTCCTTATGTGTATCAACAACTCATTTGTAAAAATTCATGTACTTATACTCTTGACGGACCCGTTACTTCCTACCAATCGAGGCTTCTCTTTGGTTTTAAGGGGGAGCATCAACAAGCAATTAAGCTATAGTATACCAATGGTGGTCTCAACAACGAAGTTGTTTTTAGTGTCAATAACTATGGCCTAAATACCATTAAGAACTATAGAAACACTAAATGGGATAGACCCCACCACACAATGTAATCTCCCTAGCATATGAGGGAAAAATGATATAAGCATCATAGCTAATCATTGGGTTAAAAGTCAAAATAGTTCACATCACACAAGAATCAATCGATTAAAATCAACCAAATCTCATGAGAAGAATCTAAAGAAAATAAATAAGACAAAATCAAAGATGATTTCTTCAAATCCGTAGAGACCACACTTTGTTGTTACGTGCTTCTCATTATCCCTAATGGCATAAGTATTGCCATCTAAATGCTGGGTAGTAGATTTAGGGGTATCTAAGTAATGTGTTCAAAACTTCAAATCAAAATTCCTTTACCTGCATTACTGAAAATAGATCAATGATGTAGTTTCTACTTTGCCGAATCGCGAACACATCACTATAAACCATTGTGGGAAAGTAAAGCTTTATGGCAATCTAACTTTATAGGATCTCTCATACATCTCAATGTTTTGGCTTAATTTGTTTTCTAGAAGTGCATTAGCCGCTAACAATCAATTATCATCTATGTTTCATCAAGACCATTTTATGATTAAGGAAGCATGGATCAAGAGAATGATTGGTAAGGGTGAGAAGTTTAGTGACCTAATCATCTAAGGCCTTTTTCACTAAAAAAAGTATACAATCTCAAAGATCTATTGCAGTATAATGTTCAAGATTTAAATAAGCTTGAGCCTTGTCTTGTTTGCCCCTTAGCCAAACAATAACGACTCTTTTTTATCTTTCACAATAATATAATTTAATATGCTTTTGATTTAGTTCATTGTGATATTTAGGGACCATACCACATCGCATCACATCACACATCATACATAGGTTCTTTCTAATGCTTTTTGACAGTTGCACAAGATTCAAGTGGGTTATTCCTCTTCAACACAAATCGAAAGCACCCTCGGTGATTCTTAGTTATTTTAATCTTGTTTCCACTCAATTCAATGTTAAGATCAAATCATTTAGATTTGCTAATGTCAAATAATTTTGACCTGCTGATCTCTTTAATAGTCAAGGAGTCATACACCAATATTCTTGCGTAGGAAGATCGCATCAAAATTTTATGAATCAAAAGCATGAACATCTATTAAATATAGCTAGGGTCTTATACTTCCAATCTAAAGTTCTCATTCAATTTTTGAACTAATGCATTTTGACGGCTACTTAGCTAATCAATATGATGTCATTATCACTTCTTGAACACAAGACACCTTACAAACTTATGTATCAAGCTTTCGTTGATTACTCCCACTTTCACATTTTTGGGTCACTCACCTTCATCTCCATCTTACTGGGAAAAAGAACTAACTTTCATCCTAGAGCCCGGGCGTGCATATTTATTGTGTATCCATTGGAAATAGAGGGATATAAATTATATGATTTGGAGATAAAATTTTTTTGCTTCATCTTGTTGGATTACATCAAGGATCAGCCTTAAGCAGTTAAGCCCATATCTTTTTGCTTTAGTCTTGGATGTTCTCACTAGACATTTGCAAGAGGTTGTACCCTAGTGTATGCTTTTTGCTGATGATATTCTTCTTGTTGATAAGACTAGAGAGGGATTTGAAGGTAAACTTGAATTATGGAGGTCAGCCTTGGAGTCTAAAGACTTTCTTGAGTAGATCTAAAGCTGAATATATGGAATGTAATTTTAGGAATAATGGTTCTAGTAAGGGGATTCTGACGTTGGGTGATCAAGTCATTAATAAGATTACACATTTTAGATATCTTGGGTGAGTTGGGTCTATTGTTCAGAGTGATGGTGAAATAGATGAGGATATTATTAGTAGAATTCAAGTTGGATGGTTGAAGTTGAGCAATGCATCGGGCTTATTGTGTGATAGAAAAGTCCCCCTCAAACTAAATGAAAAAATTTATAAGATGGTGGTTAGACTTGCAATGCTTTATGGTATAAAATGTTGGCCATTAAAAGAGAAGAATAATATTAAGTTAAGTGTTGTAGAGATGAAGATGCTCAGGTGGATGAGTGGCTTTACTCTTAGAGACATGAAACGAAATGAGCATATATGTGAAAAGGTTGGAGTAGCTCCAGTGGAAGATAAGATTAGAGAGAGTCGTCTTAGATGGTTTGGTCACATAAATGGCTACCTTCCGATGATCCGATTAGGAAAATAGATGTATTAGATTTGACTTATGTTAAGAAGGATAGAGGTAAACCTAAAAAGACTTGGTTGGAAAATATTAGAAATGAACTTTCTTTATTAGATTTAAATGAGAATTTTAACTTTTAACAGAGCACAATGGAGAAAAAGAATTCATGTAGCCAACCTCACAGTGGGATAAAGGCTTGATGTTTTTGTTATTGTGGTGGAGATAAAAAATTTATCATATCTTGTGATGTTGTATTCCATGAAGAGCAATTCTCCTTTCATTCAATTTCAACCACAGATACCATTACCAATCCCTTCCATGACACAGTCCTTCCTAATCTCTCGGATGAGACCCATGATATCCATTCTGGAAATTATAATCCACAAGAATATGCAACTATTCAATAAAATGTCACTTCTTACAACCCACCTACATATCTTGCCCTATGGACCAAAATGCATGTTTGCATATCCACTGGACACCCTCCTACCGGTAAGATTTCCACCATAAATTCTTTTTCCGGACACCTCTCAACCCAATTCCACTAGCGCCATAAATATAAGTAAATTTCCTAGATAAAATCACATATCTTACGAGTAGCTGGAAATCATTCACAAAGAATTTGCCTTAAACATATCGGCAAATTCTGAACCACAAAATTATCATCAAGCCACTAGCTTTCTTGAGTGGAAAATTGCTATGTACACCAAACTCCAAGCTTTCATTCTCAAAAAATTTTGGACCATCATTCCCCTATCGCCAAGAAAGCACTCCATTGGGTGCAAACGTACACACAAACTTAAATATAACATTGATAGTTTAGTTCATAAATACAAAGCATGCACAGTAGTAAAGGGATATAAACAACAAGATGGAGAAAGTTTTTTCAATATTTTTTCCCTTGTTGGCAAGACGGTGACAGCGTAGTTGTTTATCTTAGCAGCTGATGCTAAAATTGGTTCCTTAACCAACTTGACATTATGAAAATAACGCCTTCTTTCTTGGTGATCTCCACGAAGTAGTTTACATGGGACTTTCTTCAAGGTCACGATGTTCAAGAGTAGAAAACTCATAGAAATAAAAGATTGTCTTCAAATTACATAAATCCATTTATGGACTCAAATAATTATCACGATGGTGGTATGCAAAACTTTTTGAGGCCTTACTCTAATTCAGGTTCACCTAATAAGTTTTATTATTCCATGTTCAAGAAATGACCAGACGCCAAATTTATTAAGTTATTAGTATAAATTGATGATTCAATCATAATAGGGGCCTTCTACGAATTTCATTAATTTACTCGGATATTTTCTTCACATCCAATTCGAACTCCAAAACTTGGGCGAGCTCAAATATTTCTTAGGTC